GGTATTACTTCGTTTTCGGTTACGTATTGTAGTTAATGATAGTTGGCAACCCGAAGTTCTTGCAAATGACCAAACCAGTGACCCAGAATTGGGTTTAGTAATTAACTGGAAAACACAGGCCAAAGACCAACGTGGGAAGAAGTTTGCAGATATTCGCCGAACGTGAAGTTGTACTGGTCCCAGTGGAATTCCTTGGTAATAGATACCGGACTACTTCGCCGTGTGTTCGAGAGACCGGAGGGACATGAAGAGAGAAGGCAGATCTTCATTCCAAAGAAGAAGGTCCCAGAAGTCTTGGAAGTTCACAATGGAACCAACGGAGGACATCTTGGTGTTGCCAAGACACTTGGCAAGGTGCGTGAACGGTTCTACTGGGTGAACTGCAAAGAAGATGTGAGGGCCTGGTGTATGAAATGTGACATTTGCGCGGCCATTAATGGGCCACAAAAGCGTGGTAAAGCCCTATGCGCCAGTACAATGTTGGTAGTCCCTTCGGACGAATAGCGATCGACGTGGCTGGTCCTTTCCCGGAGACGAACGGTGGCAACAAATACATTGTGGTAGTAATGGATTACTTCAGCAAATGGGTCGTGGCCTACGCGTTGCCAAATCAAGGAGCGTCCACGATTGCTGACGCCCTTGTTAAAGAATGGATCTGCAGGTTTGGTGTTCCCATGGAGCTTCATTCAGATTAGGGAAGAAACTTTGAGTTCAATCTGTTCCAAGGCGTCTGTGAAGTCCTGAACATCCGCAAGACTAGGACGACTGCTCTACATCCACAATCCGATGGGATGGTTGAACGCATGAACAGATCTATCAACCGTTATCTGGCCAAAGTAGTCTCTGACCACCAAAGAGACTGGGAAAAATTTCTTCACCTGTTCCTGTTGGACTACCGTTCATCCGTCCAAGAATCTACGGGGCAAACTCCAGCCAGCATCGTTATGGGACAGGAAGTGCGCCTACCCTGTGACCTGAAATTTGGTTGCCGACCGGGAGAAGTCGCCGGAGAAGATTATGTCCCCACACTACGTCAAAGGATGGACGGCATTCATCAGAGAGTCCGCCTAAATATTCAAAGTGCTAGTGACCGAATGAAGGAACACTACAACATTCAAGCTGAGCATGGATACCAACCAGGGAAGTTGGTGTGGCTATATATAATAACCCGCAGAGACGTGGTGGATTATCTCCAAAGAAACTACAATCCTCGTAGGAAGGGCCATACGAAGTCATGGATAGAATTAATGACGTCGTATACCGTATCAGAAAATTGCCAAAGGAAAACCGAGGGTATTCCATTTCAACCGTTTGAGCCCCTACAAGGCGAAATAGAAGATCGTGCTGGGACTGTGAGAACCTGCAGCTTTGATCCCCTGATTCGGAGATGTCCTTTGACGATTTCATGGCCCGATACAACAGCGGTGAGAAGGCTCGCTATGGTGTAACCAAAGGAGATCAACGAGACCTCTTTTCGGTGCCTCCTGATTATTCGCTCGCTCATTGTGTGGCTCGAGTTTTGCGGATGTCCAGAGGAATCGCTGCGACGTTCAATGTGAAGTTTGGGCGTGTCGGAGAACTACGCCGACAGGATTCAGAGGTTGGAAGCGTCTTGAGGCTAACCGACAATGCACATGGTCAAACAAGGCACATCTTCTACCTGGTCACCAGGGAATGGTCCCCGAGTAAGTCGACTTATCTCAATCTATGGAAGACACTTATTGAACTGAGAGAAGCTCTGCTAAACAACAACATTGCACGATTAGCCATTCCAAAGCTGGCGTGTGGACTCGATGGTTTGAGTTGGCGTACAATCCGGAACATGATTGGAAGTCTTGTTCAGATTTAAGGGAATCGAGATCCTCGTTTACTGCTACAACCCAAAGCTGAAATCGGGAGAGAAAACTGTAGACTGCTATTTCAGACTTCGCAATGTACCAGGGGCCAGCTTTGCAAATGCCTTCATTCACCGTATACATCTCGGGACGAGCATTTGCCTAAGAAGGGGGCAGTGTTGCGAGCCGGTGTGGACTCGACCTAACCTCTAATATGGCCCGCCCTCGGATGACCTTAACATCGCATAGACACCGCAATGATTCTTTCGTTCGAGAAGAACCGAGACCCACTACAATGGACTCGTACATACGCGAACATTCGAAAACCTTCTCTTTGCGCCTAACGATCTTTGGACTATTCTAGATTTCTTTACCTGTCGGTATAAAAGCCGGCGGCAGTGGCCTAGAGGGCAGTTATAAATATACAGTTGACGCTAAAATTCAAAAGAGAATAAATCTTGGATTATAAATCGTTTGTAAATAGTTCTATAAGTCGTTTATCGTTATTAGTTTTGTTAATTAGTGTTAAATAAATAGTGTTTAAATAAATTGAGACTTTCTATCCACACGGAACCGACGAAAAACGTAACAATAGTATAAACAGAGACAATTGCCCGACTCCTTCCAGTTCTCTGTTCCTATTGCTCTAGTTTCGGTAATTAATTGTTACTGCACAGAAACTAAAAATGTAATAATATACAAGGTGTTAGATTTAAAACAGCTTTGATATTTTTATTTATTTGGGACACTGTGTGGGGGACACAAAATATTTTTAAATTGTAGCTTTAGTAGTACTCCAATGATCCCATCACTCACAATTTCTAAAAATCTGATCATTTGGCTATACAAGGGCTATACAATACCCCGTATCGAATAGCGTGAACAACCTTGATATACAGGGTGAGTTTTAAATAAGTGCAAATATTTTCAGGGCTGGTAGATCTCGATAAAAGAAACATAGTTTTTCTTTACCGTCCAAGTCCAAAATAACCGAGTTATTTTACTTTGAAAATTTAATAAAAGAATTATTTTTTACTTAAGTTTCTTTTTCTTTTTTGTAAATTTAATCTACTGCCTATGTTCCCCTATGATATTATTATATTTTTTTTAACTAATGTTTTTTAATAATTATGTTTCTGAACTAAAAACTAAAAAAAATTTCAAAAATTCGAAATTTTCAAAATTTTTCTTCGCGAAAAAAACCTCACACGTATTTCTGGGGTCGAAATAAACTACCCCTAAAAATATTTGCACTTATTTAAGACTCACCCTGTATATCTATTAGAATATACTATATTTTTTAGGCAACTAGTCGAATCAGAGTCGTATCAAAATCAAATAAACCTATTAACTAATGATGTATATCTAAAAGGTGTTATTTTCGAAAACATTGTCATTTTACAGAAATATATAAGAAGATTGCATATATTTTTAAGATGCCTCTATATATTAGTATCTGATTTACCAGGGCATCCTCTGGGTAAACATGTAAGTACTTTTATTTTTATAATTACCTTTTATGACTTTTGTATAGATCATAACAGCTGATGTAATTTTTCATAAAATCCTCATAAAACCTGCTGTAATTTTTAAAGAAGTGTAAGTGTAACTTTGAATGTGACTTCGTTTGTAACTTTTAAATTCCCTTCTCATATTCAAAGCTCCACTTAACTTATAGTAACCTTAATAAGTGCTGTGAAAAAGACATAAGTGCCTTTGAATAAAAAGATTAAGGAAGGAACATATCAAAAATCTTAGATCGAATGCGACGGGGTCGTAGAATGGCCGACTCAAATTCCGGTTTATCAGTGCCTTTCTAATTTTATTCAAAACGTGTAAAACTGTGATGTAGAGTAGACTCAATAATTTGTTGTTTTATTTTACGTTGTCAATAAATGTTGGTAGTTATTAAAATTAGTGATGGGATAACTCGAGCAAGAATTCTCTCGAGTACTCGGTTATTGAAATAACCGACATCGCTCGATTATAAACGAGCGATGCAAGTGACGAGTTACGAGCGACGAACGCAAGCGATCCTAGAATAAAATAAATTGAAATCCGATTTTAATGTGACATACTCGATAAAAAGCCGAGCGAATTTTCTACATACATTACAGGTAGCAAATTTATACGACGCCGTATATATAATCTGTTGCGTATCTGAGGGACAAAGTTTTACGACCTACATCGACAATGCTTTGAAATATACTAAATCAAGCGAATCGCTCATCGCTTGCTACTTGCCATTCATCACGGAAAGAATAGACAGAGTTAAAGCAAGGCACAATACGTATACGTATCTCTCGACACGTCATCGAATCCTCATATGGATTTTGGCTAAGAATTAGCATTTAATTAAATAGATTCCAAAATGAGTTTATTATGATGCTTAATATTTTCATACTAATTTACTGTAATAAAATAGGCCCAGTTCCGTTACACAGACCCCAAAATTTATGAAATAACTTAATTACTAGCCACTACTAGCCAGTTGTGGAAACGAGTTGTTTGTGAATTTGTACTTTCGGCACCATTCGGATGAAATCGAAACTCCTTCGGCTCGATCCGTTTGCGTTTTGTACATACGTACGTAAGGGCACGTAAAGATACGTATCACGTATCCGTAAACGCAAGTGAATTTCTCACTGCGCAAGCGTACATGTCAAACGATACGTTTACGTCTACGTCTTTGGCCGTGCTTTAACTGTCTAATATGTGCCCTGCGCACGCAACTTATTGCTTAGCGCTTGGAGTTAACGAGTACTTACAACAAGCGATGGACGAAAAATCATATTTTTAAATACGAGCGACATTTCGCTCGAGCGATCGCTCGGTTATTGCAATCGCTTGAAACTCGAGTACTCGATTATTGAAATTAATCGGTTTATCCCATCACTAATTAAAATTATTTAAAAATATATAATTCTAATGAAAATAGATAAGTTATAAGAATTATTTATAACACAAACATCCGATGACGCTACTGAATACGTAAGTCGTAATAGTAGGTAAGTCAAATTGAAGTATCTAAATTCTTTGATATCTAATCTTTGACAAGTAGTAAATAAAAGCAAAAATGCAAGCAAAAATATATATGTAGTTAATTTTAAGTGAATTGCATAAATAATCGGTTTACTACACTATGTATATTTTATAGTCACTTTTACTAGCGAAAATTTAATTCATGATTTTATTCGATTTTTGATCAAGGTCTACCGTGCGCTACACAACCAACTATTTTACAGTCTTTTTCGATAAATCGCAATAGTGTCACTGTTAATTTAAGTTCTGCCCCAATTTCCTTCTAGATTTACTACCTTTAAACAACTATCAGTAATAATAATAATAATAAATAACATAAAATAAGCTCAGTAAATATTGAAAAATTCACAAAATTTCAAATAAAATTCAAATGTATCAAATGAACCGTTAAACAGAACCACAACAGAACTGTCAAGGATCCCCACCCTAGGACCCTCTCTCTGTCTACCATGCATGAATACATGGATAGCATTATACTTCTTACTTAACATTTTTATTCAAAGCTAAGTGCGTATGCTCTATTATAATAGAGTTTATTGATTTATGTTTAAGTTATACGAGTTATATGCTACATGTGTGAGTGAAGATGTTACTAAGACCCCACAATACCAGGAATGTTTGCGGCTGTTAAGTTTTCAATCACAAAATAATCTCTGTGTTAAATTAAATGAAATTGTGGCAATTCTCGACGAATCAATAAACAAAAATAGTAAAAGAACCCAAATGAAAGAGTTTTATTCTAAAATAAAAGACTACATTATTTTATTGAATGATTTAAATGATGCTGAAATGGATGTTGTAGATGAAAGTATATCTCCAAATAATTCATTTACTAATTGTACTGATAGAAAATCTTTAAAAGAGGTAAGAAAGGTTAAGTAATCATATGTATTTTTTTATTAATGTGTCTCTTTGTTAGTCATTGCTTCTGAGAACGAAATCAAGGATGGAGCCACTCACTAAATATGCAAAATTACGAAAAGATATTTTAGAAACTATCTCATCAAATTTTGAAATACATTTAGTACAGCCTAGCAGCTTGTGTTTTTATGAAATATTCTTTTTTGATGATATTTCAATACAAAATAAAATTATTGGAATTCATAGGACTGCTATCCATACGGCCTTAAATGACCCACAAGTTTATTTGCAGGTATGTAGAATCTGTTCAGAATCAATGAGCGCGACGAAAAAACAAAACCGTGCAAAAGCAAGCAACAACGTTGCTTCGCATTAGTCCGCGGATCTGCATTATACTACATACAATTAATTCAATGCAAATCGATGATTACTAAAAAGTCGATTACTAAAAATTGACATAAAATTGTCAAAAATGAACACTAATTATAGAAAGATTAAAAAAGGATAGTACGTTTCCAGACACACAAATCTATTTCTAAAAAAAAATCTGGAATTTTAAACTATTTAAAAATCATTTTTAGTCAATATAAAAATAAATTACAAGCTTCTTAAAGCCAGCTGGCAGTAAGCGCTATTAGAATGATGCCAAAAAGTCCCAACCTTAACCTGACGAACGTTACCATTCGTTCGCATTGCAGCCATTCGCACCATTGCTACCCATTTGCACCGGGTAGTATGATACAATAAGTAAATAAATAAACAACGGCTTTATTGTACAAAAAGCCAAAATAGCTTCATCGACAAAGCATTTACAAAACAAACAAAAGCACAAAAAAAAATATATACAAATAATAAAAAATATCATACAATACAAATCAATTCAAAAAAAATTACGTCATTAAAATTACAAATAAAATATACATGGACATTGCAGAACACAGGCGTATCAATAAAATTTTACAAAAGGAAAATTGTAATTGGATAAAATCATGTAAGAGTTAATAAAATATTAAATATTAAATACTAGACCTTTAACCAGTGTTTGAGATGATCAAAATTTTAAAATTCAAAATTGTTCATGATTAATCATCAACAAAAAAGTCGTTTACCGCATATAGGGCTCTCTCCAGTAAGTATGATTTCAGAGCTTTGCGAAATACGGGAAAGAATGAAAGTGATTTGATATTCAAAGGCAGATGATTATACATTTTTTTGGCGTTGTACAGTATTGAGCCTTTAACTAGTTGTAACACATTTGAATGAATATTTTTCTTTCGCTAACATTTCCATCGTTCGCACGCTTTCCACTTCCTGTATTTTACCCATACGTCCACACTGCAACGTTTCCAATCATTCACGGCTCGCATTATTCTTTCATCTATTCACTTTTACCGCCAGAAGATGAAAATCGTTCGTTCGCGCTGAAACCATTCGTCATGTACAGGGTGAGTCAACGATAGAGTAAAGTCCATTATCTCATTTGTTTCGAGGTTACAAAAAAATGTTTAATATAAAAGTTATAGGGAAGGTTAAGATACACATTTTAAAATTATTATAGAGTATACAGGGTGTTCCAAAAATGTGTGGCGGATATAACATATATTTTTTTAAATGCAACACCCTATTTTTTATTTTATTTTTATATTCTGCGTAAAATTCCATAACTTTTTTATATATAATGTTATATACCTAAAATTAATAGTTTTTGTAATATTTAAATTTGTTTAAACAAATGGTAAATTGCAGTGTGATAAAAAATTGTCAGTGTTTCTGAAGTTGCAATACCAAAATTTGGTATGAGAGTTTTATAAAGATGAAAAAAAGGATATATGTAAAGCTATTTTAGTTAAATGCTACAGGGTGTTCAAAATATATTTATGAATTTCAACTACTTAAAATTAAAAAATCTCAAATTTTTCAAATGGTACACCCTATTATATTTTCATTTTTTCTGATAGATTTTGCAAAGCTCTTCAACTTTTATTAAGTATGTCATATACCTATTTTTAATAGTTTGCGATTTATTCCAATTTTTTCTATTTTTACACTAATTTTTAATACAATTGCGCTATAACATCATAGTTGCCGTGACAAAACGAAAGTATTTACTACTTATCTTTAACAAGTAGTTTAATAATTAATTGCAATAATTGTTATTATTAGTTAAAATTAATTAAATTTACTCAAATCAACTAAAATCGTAATCGTGAATTTCTTGGTGTATTTCTATATTATGAAAGATAACACTTGGATTTTCCATCGGGGCTAATAGCCACAGATTAGGGTAATACTAACTAGATTATCTAATTGTTGACGACTACCGATATAGGAATTTTTTTCGACATACAGTAAAGTTTTTTTCTCGTAGTAATTCTGGTTTATAATTCATTTCATAAAGCCAATATTACAGCTGCGAAACCGTCCCATTCCACACTGAAAATAATATAATATAATATGAAAATGTTTTCTAGATAATCTACATCTATTCTTATAGTACTTAGCAAAGTACTATGTAATATATAGTACTGAGCCAAAAAAATATGTTTATCTTGGCTTGTTCTTGTGTATCAGTCACATTGACTAATTCATTTTCAGGAAAATCTGTAAAACTATTATCTTTACCTCTTCCATTTATACTTATTACAACAAAGTAAACTAAAATTCACGTTTTGTTCTTAACTTGCATAACAGACATATTAAATTTTGATCATTATTATTTTTTGTCATGGCAACTATGATGTTATAGCGTACCTAATTGTATTAAAGATATGGTAAAAATAGAAAAAAATTGGAATAAATCGCAAACTATGAAAAATAAGTATATGACTTATTTAATAAAAGTTGAAGAGCTTTGCAAAATCTATCAGAAAAAATGAAAATATATAGGGTGTACCATTTAAAAAATCTGAGATTTTTTAATTTTAAGTAGTTGAAATTTATAAGTATATTTTGAACACCCTGTAGCATTTAACTAAAATATCTTTACATATATCTTTTTTTTCATCTTTATAAAACTCTCATACCAAATTTTGGTATTCCAACTTCAGAAACAATGGTACCACTGACAATTTTTTATCACACTGCAATTTGACATTTGTTTAAACAAATTTAAATATTACAAAAACTATTAATTTTAAGTATATAACATTATATATAAAAAAGTTTAGACAAAATCTAAAAATAAAATAAAAAATAGGGTGTTGCATTTAAAAAAACATATGTTATATCCACCACACTTTTTTGAAGCACCCTGTATACTCTATAATAATTTTAATATATGTATCCTAACCTTCCCTATAACTTTTATATTTAACATTTTTTTGTAAACCTCGAAACAAATGAGATAATGGACTTTACTCTATCGTTGACTCACCCTGTACATTCGCTGCGAATGCACGTCTACACCTGAGAATGCGAACGAATATTAACGTTCGTCAGGTCTCTCCTTGGCTCTATATGGAACGTTTTTCGAATCCGCCTACTTTTTGCGGTTTGAGATTTTGATGCGAAATCCGGCAATACCACATCATAAGAAATGTATCAATCCAGCTTTTATCTCTTTAATACTTGGTTTTTCATTAGGGTGTCAAATCACTATCTTAAGTCCCGTCCTCAGAACGACGTTCTGTCGCTGGCTACTCTGGTTGACACTTCAAAGAACCAATGAGAGTTGTTTTAATTTAAAATTGACAGCTGAATTTTCGACAAATTTAATTGGTTCTTTTGACGTATCTCTGACTGGTTCTGAGAACGAGGCTATAAGCCCCGTTCTCAGAACTTTGTATTGTCGAGCGACACGTCAAAAGAACTAATGAGATTTGCACAAAATTCAAAATTCACAACTGTTTGAATTTTGTAGAAATCTCATTGGTTCATTTGACGTGTTGCTGGCGACAGTCGATGTTCTGAGAACGGGTCTTTAAGGCTCGTCAATTGCTGTCCTCCATTCGCGAATTTGAAGTTTCAGAGCTTTACGCCCTGGGCTACTCGAGAACGGATCTGAAAGGAGCTGTGTGTGATAGCCTGGTGCCTCCATATGGCGCGGAACAGTTCTGAACTTTATGACTCAATTGAATGGAGTGAGAGTATCGCGGTCTTGAACAGTTCAGAGCTGCACAACTGGGTGAATGGAAGACAGTAAATGCCGTAAGGCTCGTCGTTATGTTTTTAATTTTGAATTTTGTGCAAATTTCATTGATTCTTTTGACGTCGCTCGACAATACGAAGTTCTGAGAACGGGGCTTTACACGTTATGCCGCGACCGCACATGCGGGCATCGCCGAGCTCTGATAGCAACAACATAGAGACGAGCGCTCGTTCTCGTCGCCGATCAAGTTGCCGAATTCCAACTTCCCCGTCCACACTGATCGGAGATCGGCGACAAGCGCTCGGAAATCGCAAATGCCGCATGTGCGGTGGCGACATAACATGAACTTTGCAAAAACTTAAATTAGTCGAAGGCAGTACATTTTATTTATGCAGTAATCATATTTTAGTGTAATTGCTGCAAATTAAATAATTCCCACTCTATTAAACCGAAAATGCCTGATATTTGTATTACATACAAACTACATTTAGAGTGTGGGAAAATGATAAACATGTATGACTGGTTACAAGCTTTTTTGTGCATTATAGATTCCAGTTTCAATGCAGAAAATAACACAAATTCAAAAATAAACCCGCAGTATCAGTATCCTTTTTTAAATTGTGCAATGTTACAATAATTAGTTTTAACATTAATTTGAATATTCATTTTTCTTATTAGTAATATCCTTGATTATTATATATAGACAAGGGTAATATCAATGTGCTTTATGTTTCCTTACCAATTCTAGAGCTCGTTTTACTCGAGCAGTGGCTGAATTAGAACATCTTGGATTTATTAAAAGTTCCAAAAGAAAAGCCGATCACGTCAGTCGACTTACCTGGGGTGGATAGTTTTTTTATATAGTTTTAATTAGGTTGAATTTACTTTTTTTATTTATATTTGGTATTTTTTTCACTATTTTATATTTATATTTTTCTAATAAATCTGATTTTGTATCTATCCTGTCTGTTTTTTTTTGTAGAAACTAGAAACATTTTCTATTGCTGTACCTATAATAATAATACAATATGATCGAATAAAAACGGCGTCAGCGATGGTTACGAAACATGTTACGAAATGAAAGCTTTTTTCGGGTTCTTGTTATTACCGATTCTGAACCGTCCTAGAACTCTGCAGCGCATGCGCAAATGAAATAATGTCTTCATATTTCCTTCTGCGCATACGACGGTTCAGAATCGGTAATAACAAGAACCCGAACAAAGCTAACGATCGCTGTCATTTTTATATGTAAAATTATATCGGGAATATCATCGTGTGTGTTGGAATCTTATATTCAACAATAATAATTTAAGTTTAAATAAACAGTTTTTGTGCGGCATCTAAAAATAAACAAGTTTATTTGATTCATATTTTATCAGCTATGGGTTTGGGGAATTCGACAAGAATGCATACCTAGCAGTTGCTTTTAATATTATATTTTTTTATTATTGTAGTGGAATTTTTGAGTTAGTCTGAAAGAGTATCACGTACCGGGTGGCCAATTAAGAATGGACGCCGGCTGTATCTCAGAAACTACTTATCGTATAACTTTGGGAAAAAAAATCTAATAAGTAAATCGACCAAGAGAAATCGCTGGAAATTATTTTCAAGTTCGAAAAATGTCCGCTAAGGGGCGTTTCGCTAATAGCCAATCAGAAAACAGGGTTTTTCTCAAAAATATGCAGGTGAAGAGGTATTTTAAATATTACTATTTTAATAATCGAGAAATTTGTAATTTTTTTGATATAGATTGTTTTGCTCTATCTCATAAAATAAAGTGGTGGGGTAAGGTTAAACTTGCTTTTATTAAAATAAGGATAACTCTGGTTTGGGTTAATCGATTTAAACAAACTAGGGCTCGTTTAAAAGAGCTTTTCTTCCTTAATGATCTCCAGTGTAAATTTTGTTTCCATCATTTTTTTCGTGGTAGCTAGAGGGCGCTGTTTGACATCATAACAGATATTGCGCTTTTGCATAAAAAAAATTAAATAGGAGGCTATATTTCTGTTTACACAGTTAAATAGAGCACAACATTTCCAAAATATCAGCGCAAACCGCAATTTTCTATCTTGTCTCTAACCGGGGATATTAAGAGAACAAATTATGTTAGGCTGCCGCCATGGCATAGATAAATGAAACAAGTTTAGATTGGAAAGTGCCCATAAGGACAATGTAAACACTATTTGGCGCTATTCTTGCAACGGTCGCGACCCAAAACTTTTGAAAATTTCGGAGCGGTTCGGCTTTTTCCGGAATTATATCGCCAAATATTGTTTATTCAAATTTATCATTATTTTCGTTTAATTTTATAAATAAAAGACAGTGTGTTGCATACAAGAAACTTTATTTTATATAAGGACGCATGTATGAAATACCTATGAAACATTGGAAACCGACGTTATACCACGATCCACGATGGTTTTTGCAGTTCACAGTTAACAGCACAGCTTTTTAAGTTTCTAATGCCACTTTTTCACAATTATCACCGGTTGGAGTAAATAAAACTTGAATTAAACTCACAAGATAGCAATTATTACTTTGAAAATGGACGCTATAAACACTTTTCGGAATTTCTTTAATGAGAGCGGTTTAGATTTTGAAAGATTATTATGATTTTTGAAGATTCTGACTTTGACAAGAGAAAATTATTTCTGTTTTTGTTTGCCGTTGTTCTTAGTGACCGCTATAGCAGCGCCAGATCGCGTATAACGGTCGCGACCCAAAATAATTTCGCAACCTAAAATTTTTACGGGCTTTCCAATCTAAACTTGTTGCATTTATTATTAACATGCGCCATGGCTGGGAAACTTAAATTGAAATGACAGTTCATTAAAAATAGTTCTTCCTCCAAGATGCAGAGGCGCAAAATATTCAAACTGTCAGCACGGCATATAAATCACACGGCAGGCCAACTCGCTTTGGCGGGAACGCTACGCGCATACCCTTGCGCACGTCGCCATTATGGGTGCCAGCGACAGAAATTAACCAGTGTCGTAGTCAGTGGTAGTCTTTGTCATCGACAACCAAATACGTTTAAATTAATATATACGTTCAAATTTTATTTGAACGTATTTGTCGACAACGTACAGTTACGGCAGCTTTGAGTCAGTAGCGTGCGGCTTAATTTATTTTATTCTTTTCTTGAGTGATATATTTTGTTTTTTTTAGTTTTATTTTTGTTTATTGTGTTATATATTTGGTTTTTGTAGTTTAGTAGTACAATGGAAGTCCGAAATTCTTTTAGTTTTAATACTCAGTCATTGTCTACGGCATTCAAAGTAATTTTTATTATTAGGTATCCTGCAAAATGACAAACAAGATTAATTTCTAAATTACTGTTTTTCTGATTATCCGTATCTATTTTTAATTTTTATGGATAGCTCATGACAATTCAGAGAGAAAAGAAAAGAGATCTCGTTTTTTTATAAGGTCTGCCGTTTTTAATAAGATGTTTGCCAGATCATTTTGGCAATTTTCAGTACACGTATGTAATATTCGGACACAAAGTTTTTAAATGTTCTTCTAAACTGGATGAATTTATCCTGGATGGGAATAATGACAGGTTTACAAGATATTGGAATTAGACGAATTACAGGAATTACAAGATAAAGTTGTACCAGATTTTTATGAGTGCAACTGTACACTCAAATCGCTTGTCGCTAAGCTTTTATATAATATAAAATTGTGTAATGACATAATAAAAGTTTTAAAGAAAAAGTTTATTTTTTCTTTTTAATGTATTTAAATAAAAGCTTGTTTTTAAGAAGTTTTTTTTCTTAAATTTATTTTTTACTTTTTAGGTTATGCTGGTTTCTCAGTGCCATACACTTAAACTCAATTCTTTTTCTTAAATAACTACCTATGGGCATCCTAATAATATGTGTATCGATTTTCATAAAAAAGGAGAACTTAAAAAAACGACAGCTGTCAAATTTGACAGTTCAAATGTGAGACAAATAAAATGAAAACCGACTATGGGGTAGGGAGCATTCAATATATCGATTTTTATCAAAATCGGACAACTTAGAGATTTTTTTGACAGCTGTCAAATTTGACAGCTCAATTTTTTTCTTTCCTTTTAACCCATGGCCATCCTATATATAGATTTTTATCAAAATCGGACAACATTGAAATTTTTTTGACAGCTGTTAAGATTTGACAGCTCAATTTTTTTTCCTTTCATTTTAGCCAATGGCCATCCTATATATCGATTTTTATCAAAATCGGACAACTTTGAAATTTTTTTGACAGCTGTCAAATTTGACGGCTCAATTTTTTTTGACGGCTTGGCTTTTAAAAATATAGCCAAACATTTATATTTAAATTCATCAGTTACTTTTCTTCCTTTAGCTGATTTGTTAATTTGTGCAATTTGAATATTAACAAAATTTGCTATGTCCATTGATGGACATAATTTGTACGTAGCCTCTTTAGATTGTTCAATAGATAATTTATTGGGTATTTCTTTAATTCTTGTTTGTAACTCCTGGCCTCCTGGCATGTTTTTTAATTTTAATTGTCTATTCTCTAAAGTTAAATGTTTAATTGATTTTTTCATTTTTACTTTTTGAGGAGTATGCGCGGTTAACGATTCACTTGTTTAGATAAAAGTATTGTGTAAATAAAATTCAGTTTCAGTCAATTACAGTATTTTTTTAATACGACCCTGTCTAGCAATAGTTTATTTTCTGGGAAATTTTTTGATACGTTTTAATCCGGTCCTGACTCGGCACCCATAATGGTGTTTTCAAGGTCAAATTTTATAGAAATTTTAAACCAATGGTATCTGGGCAGAGTTAGCCTGCCGTGTGATTTATATGCCGTGCTGTCAGTATAAATTTCAAATTTTTGACAAACGTCAATAATTATTCAAACTGACGCGGACGCGGCGTTTTTGTTGCGATTTTGGCGGATGATTTCGTTTTGAATTCTAAATTATAATATTCTTGATTCCCTAGTTTTTATTTTTTGTGTGAGTATTGTATTTTAGCGAGTGTTTTATTAGTTGTGTTTAAGTTAGTTAAGTGTTGCGTTTAATTGTTTAGTTTTGTGATAAAAACTCTTGTTTAATTTTAATAATGGTGTTTAATTGTTGCATTTGTAAAAACTATAAAAAAGACGGCCTGAAACTGCATCGTTTTCCGAAGGATCCAATGGTAAGTAAATTAAATATATGTACCTACATTATTATATAATACTCTTATATTAATACTGGGAATTAAAGATCCAAGTTAGCATATAGTATATATATTTAAGTTTTTGAGGCAGCAAGTTTAAGGCATATAAATGTTGCCATTCAGTAAGATATTTTTTTTCTGGCCATTCAGTAAGATATTATTCTGGCCATTCAGTAAGATATTTTTTATGAAAATATGAAAAATAATTGATCACATTTATGGAAACCCAAGACCAAGACATATCCTGTTTTTTAATTATGCACAGTTTTAGTTTGTTTTTGGTTTGAGTTTTTCTATTTTTCTTTCTTCTAAAACACAGTGTGCCTCAATATAAATTATAACGAGGTTTTTTTTTCTTTTAAACTGTCATATGAAACATAGGTATTCTTAAATATTTACACAATCTACATTATATAAATTGCTAATTTTTATCTGTGTCGTCTCTACTGAAGTAACGACTTGCTCTAGAAAGTTGCTTTTTTACTAAAAGATAGCTAATTGGCTTTTCTAAAAACTGTTGACGCCGGATTTTTGATTTAATTAAAAAAATAAATAAATAGTTTTTTTTCCTGATGTCGTGGCGGATGCGCCAGGCTTCAACTAGTATAGTTTGGTATAGTTATAAACCTCAATCCAAGTACTTAAACAAACACTTTCAAAATTATTATTTATGTAATTTATTAACAACTAGTTGAAGCCTGGCGCATCCGCCACGACATATCAGGAAAAAAAACTATTTATTTATTTTTTTAATTAAATGAAAAATCCGGCGACAACAGTTTTTAGAAGAGCAAATTAGCTATCTTTTAGTAAAAAAAGCAACTTTCTAGAGCAAGTCGTTACTTCAGTAGAGACGACACAGATAAACATTAGCATTTTATATATGTAGATAATTTTCACCATATTGTCATCAAATTTCCATTGTGATCATACTGATCATGTAGTTTATTTTGCTTATGGGGTTGTGTACACATCTTTAATAGATATATTATGATGTTAATTATTAATTAAAATCTTATGAAATTCATCCAAAAACCAAATGAAACAAAAAAAAAAATTATATATATATATATATATATATATATATATATATATATATATATATATATATATATATATATATATATATATATATATATATATATATATATATATATATATATATATATATATATATATATATATATATATATATATATATATATATATATATATATATATAAAATGCCTACTAGAGATAAATATTTTGTTGCTGAGTAAGTCCTTTGGTCTAAATCCTATTAATCTTGGCATACATTTTCGAGGGTTTTAAAATATATATTTTAACATTAAAGGGCCTAACACAATAATATTGCAACTCTAAATTAAAAGTACCATTCTTATATTTGTAGTTGTTTAACCAGTGGGTTGAAAATATTGGCCGAGATGATTTAACGACAAAAACAATGGATAAAGTTAGAGAATCATATCGGGTTTGTGACATCCATTTCACCCCAGAGAGTCGCTATATTGGAATCAGGAATAATTCAAATCTTAAGAAAGATGCTATTCCAACTCTTTTTACTACTGGAACGATACAGAAAGGTAGGTTGTTTTGGTTTGTAAAGATTCGACATTAGGTTTAATTTTTTAGAAAAAAAAATACGATCGACTTTTAAAGATATCGTTTGCGTCTATATGTATTTTATAGGTATATTAGGTACTATCTAAAATTATACAATTATTTAATAAAGATATTTTATCAGTTATCATATATAATATACTAATTTTAAAAGAAATAACCCCTAAGTGTTTGATTTATTGTTATAGCATTTCTTTTTCAAGATTCCAGATTTGTTGAAACCAAATTAGTGACAAGGGAACAAGTCAACAGTACACCAGAAGTACCTAGGGAGGTGATACCATCACACCAAGACCAAGATATTCAGAAGCCATCTACATCTCAAGTGACACCACAAACTACACCAAAAAGAAAACGTGGCTTGGTAAAATAAAGTTCTCTGGCCAAATTATCAGGTGAGAATATACAACAGTAACTTTTAATTATATTTTGGAGTAGTTTAACAAAATCACTTTTACAGTGGATAGGTTTCGCTTCTTTTTACATAGATAAATAACATTTATATAGGTTTTGAAACTTTTGGCGATATAGCAGCAAAGTACCCAAAACGCTAGTTCACCACAAAATCGATGACAACATTTTAGTTCACTAACTAAATTAGCATCTACAGCAGATTATTGTTTATTAATATTTTTTTTATTCCAGGTCTGAAAAGACGAACTCGGATTCTTACCTATACAAAAATTGACCGAGCTTCCCAATTGACTCCAGAGGGGAGAAAATTATATAAAATTGCAGGTGATTTACGTAAAACCGCAAAAAGATTAAATTTTAGCCGCAAAGATTTAAAAAAGCAGATTAAAAAAATGAAGGAAATTATAGATTCTCCAGAATTTTTAAAGGCAAAATTAAATAAACATACCTTTGATTTTGTAATGGCTCAGTTGAGATGCCAGCCACTAAAACCGAAGGGTAGACGCTATACCCTAGACGAAAAAATTCTTTTTTTGGCATTCTTAAAACAAAGCCCCAAAGGATATAAATTGATTAGACAGATATTTGCTGCTCCATCCAGAAAAACACTGACAAATTTGCTAGGAAAAATTCCTTTCTACGCCGGGGTTAATGACGCAATAATGACATCAATATCAGCTAGATGTAAACTTATGGATGAAAAAGAAAAGTGCTGTGCCCTTGTTTTTGACGAAATGGCGATCGATCCAATGCTTCAGTACAATAAGAAGAAGGATATTGTGGAAGGCTTCCAGGACAATGGAACGAATACAGGTAGAAGGCCACTAATCGCAGATAAGGTGATGGTTTTTATGGCGAGGGGAATATTTAAAAAATGGAAGCAGCCCCTAGCCTATTATTTCAACGATGGCGGAATGAAATCAGATGTAGTGGTAAACTCAATCAAAGAGGTGGTACTAGCATGCCAGCATGCTGGCCTAAAAGTGTGGGCCCTTATTTGTGACCAAGGGACACCTAATGTGGCTGCTATTAATAAAATGTATAAATACACGGCTGAAGAGTATATAAGAAATGGCGAAGAAAACAGGCTTTTTGGAGTGAAGATTGGGGACCAGGAAGTGATTCCTCTGTATGATCCACCGCATTTGTTAAAATGCATAAAGAATAATTTCTTTATGTATCAGGTTTCTTTTAAATGGAGAAACAGTAGAACAGAAGTCGCCAATTGGGACCACCTAAGGAAGTTATTCGAAATAGGAAACCAAGATGACGAATATAGGTGCTGCAAAAAACTAACTAAGGATCACATAGAAAACACGAAAAAAATGAAAGTATCAATGGCTGCACAAATATTCAGTAATAATGTGGCTTCAGTTATGAAAAGGATGGCTACGAGAGGCAATGTTGTTGCTGATCTAAATTATTTGCCACAAGGAGCAGTTAGTACAGCCGAGTTTCTTGTTTTTATGGACTACGTATTTGACAGTGTAAATGGGTCATACGTATCCATAAAAAAGGGAAAAACTTTAAAATGTGCAATCACAAAATCAACAGGCCACAAAACTTTCTGGGCCGAGGCCATAAAAGTTTTCTCATCAATGGAATTTTCGAGCGGTTCCAAAACTCACATAGTTCCCCCATCAATAAAAAATTGGATTCATACTTTTAAGCATTTTCCTACTTATGGTATAAGTGTGAAAAGGAAAATATTGCATTTTTATGCCCAAGGAATCTAAATCAAGATCCGCTCGAAAATTTTTTTGGATCCGTAAGGAGTCATGGTGTTCGCAACATCAATCCCAATGCTACCTCGTTTGTAAATTCCTTGAAATCACTTGTGATTAACAATTTCTTAGCCAGTCATTCAAGATCTGCTAATTGCGAGAATGACAATTTAAAAGGTCTAGATGACCTTAAACATATGTTAACGTCCCTCGAACCAGTTATAGAGGTTGACGTCAGTTTTCCTAATGTCATAGTGCCTGAGTACCAACCAGCCCATAATTCTTTATTGAAAAGAGGGAAGCTAACATATGTAGCAGGTTTTGTGGCTAAGAAAGTGTTAAAGCGCATTGGAATTTGCAAACAATGTAGGCAAGACTTAGTTGGAGATGACAGGAGCCGAGCAGAATGCTTTATTGTGGATGCAAGAGCCTATTCTGCAAAAGCGTTACTGGCCCCTTCAACAAATTTTAACGAATTTTTTCAAAAATGTATATTTATCATGAGTAATATTTTGCCTCAAATATGCCACAGCCAAAATATTACTACGCTAATTAAAAAAATATTAAACGAGTTATGCAAAGAAAAAATATTCTGTTGCAATAAGCATGATGTTAAAAAAATTATATGTGATTATATTTCAGTTTTTCATTTGAACGTATGGATTAAAAATGTAAATGCCATATTAAAAGGAAAGCAAGTAATAAACAAATCATCCATAGATAGAATAAAAATATATGCATCTCAGAAATTCGAAAAACATAGGAATTATTGTAGTAGGATACGTAGGATGAAAAATATTCAGCATTAATAAAAGTCACACTTTTTGCCTGATTTAGGTATTTTTAAAGTAAAGAAATTAAAGTATTTTAAGTTAACGTCTCCTTTTTATTGCCAGGGTTAAAACAACAGCACAATTTTCTCAGATGTTAGATCCTGTTTTAAATTAATAGGAGAACTAAACTATCCTCAATTTACAATAGAAAAAGTAAAAAAATCGGCCTTGCGCCCTCGCACTGTCGTTACCTATTATAATAACGAGAAAAAACGTAGCTTGTGGGTTAAAAAGGGGTTTAAAAGAAAAAAATCGCCGTTATGTGGTTGGCTCATCCAAATTTCAATTTATAATAATCAGATAACAAGTATACACACGTCCAGATTTTTCATCCAACCCGACTAAATCTGATTATTATGAATTAAAAAAGCGACGTTTTTTGCTGTTACATTTTTTTAATAGCTTACCATTACTTGCTATTTGCACTATTTTATACTTAACTCATTATTTTGTATTAGGTTTAAATAAATTATAAGACATCTAGGCATATATGCGACGCCTGTGTGTGTCTCATATTTTTAGATTATAAAATTAGATAATATATTTTAATTGTCTTAAATCTAAGTAGCTTAACTAATCTTAATTAATCAAACAATAAATAAAATACAAAAGAGAAAAATAAATTATCGGAAATTATGTAATTTAAATATGATATGCCTATTGATTATATTTCTCTTCAAAAATATGTTGATAAACGGTATTTAAATCTTCATAAATATATTTTTTCCAATGTTACCTGATTTGAATTTTTAATATTATCATTAAAGTTTTCAGACATAAATAAATTGAGAAATTCCTACTTATTAATAGTATATTTATATTGTTAAAATAATTTTCGACATGTAAGAACAGTGTGTGCTTTTAATTAGGTTTATTGGCCGTTTATAATACGTTCGAGCAGATTAAAAACATACATTGTGTTCTTACTTCTTACATGTTGAAAATTATTTTAAATCGATTATAACCAGATTAAAACAATCCCCCCTTCCCCGCACCCGTCTGTTCCGATAGTATTTCTTCCTCCGACTACCAGAGGCGCCCTTGTATAATAAAATTGAAATGTATAATAAGTTGCCTATCTATTTAATATTATAAGTCTTTTATCTATGGACAACTCTTTTATTTTATATTTCTCTTTGTGTATTTCTCTATGGGTGCTCTATGGTTAACAAGTATGGAAACATGATGGAAACAAGCAACAAGTAGGAAAATGATTTTAAATAATGCAATTTATTTAAAAAGAGTTGTAAATAAATTATTGTTGAAGTTAAACTAGTGAATTTTATATTTAGTATTTGGAAAGAATCTTAATAAAAAAAATACATATTCTACCACAGTTACTATTCTATGACTACCACCAGATGATATTGAAGCAATGAATTCCAGTCAGCACGAAGAATATTGTGATGGTAATTTACCTATGCCTTCAAACCATTTAATTCCAAATATAAAAGATGAACCTACTGAAGGAACAAATGACAATAACACGACAATAAATAACAATATTGAGGTACTAAATGATTTTAAAGAAGAAACTGATACATTTAGCCTTCATGGAAGCGAATATTATAGTAGTGATGATACTGAAACCAGTTCAAGTGAAACTAATAGTGAATTTAATTATGGTTGCAACATAGTTACAAAAGAAACTGATAATACAGGAAATACAATTGCAATAAATAATAATAATAGTAATAATGAAGGTGTCAAACCGAAAAGCCGAAGACGGCGCCCTACAAGTAGGGGTCCCATAAAAAAATGCCCTTTTTGTCCAAAAGAAACTCGCTTTTTAAGTAGGTATAGGGTATAGATAATAATGCAATCCTTAGAGTAAGATGCAATCTAATGTTTATCCATGAACCAAACCAAACTTATTATTTTACTCCAAATGAAGCTACTAAGTACCTATATGGTGTGTGGTTATCAAATATCTAATATTTTTTGTGTGCATACCTACAAAACAATGTACAATTTTTAGGCTCACATATGTACTATATGCATACTGACCCAAAAGATATAAAATGGCATAAATGTGACAAATGTGATTACAAAGGAAAAGCTAAAAAAAGTCTTAGGAAACATCAATTATATGTACACTTTGATGAAAATGAAACTCCCTATAGATATTGTAGTGTCTGTGAAAAAAAGTATGTATAATATAGAAATTTTAAAACATTTTCCTATGTACGTCATCAACTTTGAGTAACAAGCGATGGCGACAGCCCTGCCAGATTGTGATGGATTTATGAGATGAATCTTAACTTTTAAAAGTGACAAACAATATATTTAGTATATAATTTTTTAAAGATTTTTACGTTTAATTTTTAAGTTAATAATTACCTAATATTTTAGTAATTAATTTATTAATAATAGTTTTATAGCTTATTTCTTGATATCTCCCAAACTACAGTTAAATAATACATATCATACTTTTTCAAATATATGTACCTATTTAAGGAAAAATAATAACTTAAAAAATATATAGTTAATAAATAACAAAATAAACAATTTGCCATAAAAGATGTATTGAAAGCATTAACAGTAACGGCTCTGAAATAATTAATAAATAAAATCTATTTAATAAATAACTACTTAATTAATCAATCAAACTTACTTCTCTGACTACAGTCAAGGGTAATAACGGACATTTATTGTCACGTTCTCATTCTAAATCAGGAAAGCTACAAGCTCTTTGCTTCGACTGTTTAAATGCTTACAAAAACTCGAAAATTTAGTTCTTAAAAGAACTGTTTGTGCTTAGAAGTACAATTTAAGAAAAAAAAACTATGAAAACGACAAAAAACGAGAATTACTCCCAAAAATTCAACATGAATTCAACAACACGATATTATACAAAATAATGACTGACACCATAGATAAATGAAACAAGTTTAGATTGGAAAGTGCCCATAAGGACAATGTAAACACTATTTGGCGCTATTCTTGCAACGGTCGCGACCCAAAACTTTTGAAAATTTCGGAGCGGTTCGGTTTGGAACCGAACTTTTTCCGGAATTATATCGCCAAATATTGTTTATTCAAATTTATCATTATTTTCGTTTAATTTTATAAATAAAAGACAGTGTGTTGCATACAAGAAACTTTATTTTATATAAGGATGCATGTATGAAATACCTATGAAACATTGGAAACCGACGTTATGCCACGATCCACGATGGTTTTTGCAGTTCACAGCACAGCTTTTTAAGTTTTTAATGTCACTTTTTCACAATTATCACCGGTTGGAGTAAATAAAACTTGAATTAAACTCACAAGATAGCAATAATTACTTTGAAAATGGACGCTATTAACACTTTTCGGAATTTCTTTAATGAGAGCGGTTTAGATTTTGAAAGATTATGATGATTTTTGAAGATTCTGACTTTGACAAGAGAAAATTATTTCTGTTTTTGTTTGCCGTTGTTCTTAGCGACCGCTATAGCAGCGCCAGATCGCGTATAACAGTCGCGACCCAAAATAATTTCGTGATCCAAAATTTATCTGGGCTTTCCAATCTAAACTTGTTGTATTTATCTATGATGTTCAGCAATGTTGTTGTGTATTATTTGACAATTATCCTAGTGTCAGTCATAGATAAATGCAACAAGTTTAGATTGGAAAGCCCGTAAAAATTTTAGGTCGCGAAATTATTCTGGGTCGCGACCGTTATACGCGATCTGGCGCTGCTATAGCGGTTGCTAAGAACAACGGCAAACAAAAACAGAAATAATTTTCTCTTGTCAAAGTCAGAATCTTCAAAAATCATAATAATCTTTCAAAATCCAAACCGCTCTCATTAAAGAAATTCCGAAAAGTGTTTATAGCGTCCATTTTCAAAGTAATAATTTCTATCTTGTGAGTTTAATTCAAGTTTTATTTACTCCAACCGGTGATAATTGTGAAAAAGTGGCCTTAAAAACTTAAAAAGCTGTGCTGTGAACTGTGAACTGCAAAAACCATCATACATGCGTCCTTATATAAAATAAAGTTTCTTGTATGCAACACACTGTCTTTTATTTATAAAAATAATAATAAATTTCAATAAACAATATTTGGCGACATAAAGGGGGGAGAACCACAAATGGTACAATGTGTATCCGACACACAAGCCGAAGCTACATCGGAAATCTTCGAGCCACACACGGTACACAGTTCTAGGCTCGTGCGCAGTATAATTCTGTTTAGTGATGGGTCATTTAATAATTGTTACAGACCGAATCGATCGATTTATAATTTGTAATACGATAGATAAGAACTTTTTTACTAGTTTTAATTTTCGAAAGTTTTGCAACACTAAATAATATCAAATATTTTTTTTTACTTTTTAGTATATATGTTTTAAAGTGGGATAATAATTATATTCAATTATTTTTAAATGAAAAATTGAAACTTGAAAAAAATAAGGTAAAACGTAAAATGAATAGGTTCATATATTTCAACATTTTTCAAAATTTGAGCTACTTGAGAAAAAAAAGTGCAAAACTATGGGCTGTCCAACGGGGGGATCCCTGACTGTTTGATTTGATTTGGAGTTTGTCATTTTAATTCATAAACAAATTTCATTGTTTGTCATTTTTTGGATTTCCTATGTCGAAATCTTCCCTTAGTCGCTGAAGGGACTATATTAGGCATCCTTTATGAATGGATTTTACAAAGTTTTATTCTCAATCCTTCGTAAATAGGCTACGAAAATGAACAGGGGTGATAAAGTTTATTTGGATATTGTTTTGTAGAATATGATGCGTAAAACTTGGTATTAATGTAGATAGTTTTCGATATGATTTAATCAAACACGTTTTTGTTGTTTTTCAAAATTACGCCATTTATGGGGTAAAATGTAAAATGATGAGGCAAAATGTATAAGTAAATTAACGTATATTATAAATAAAGTATATTAGATATACCTATAATATATATGAAAAAATTCACTCAAAACTTGGATTAAATGTTCTTTGTTATAATTATTCAACCATGTATATCTTCTGTTTTTTTTTTCAAAATTCAACTCTTTGGCATTTAGTAAAAGAATAAGATACTATATAGATTTTGAATTTTCCTTAACGATCTTCTGTAAAATTTTTAACTGTTGTGAATGTAAAATGTAATGTCTTGTGGCAAGATAGTGAATGGATAAATCAATGGATTAATCATTGGATATTTATATGAAAACTGGTAATAGTCATATGAATAATCATTTTAAAGATGCAGGCTAAAAAAAGGTCACAATATGCTCTGTTTACACTATGACTATTTCTTTATGGAGAATTATTTATATATTCCGTCACCATTTTGTCAATTTGCATGCGGCATGGCAAGTCGTTTATAAATTAATATTTGAAATATTAAAAACAAACTTAGGATATATTGAATGCTAATAATTAATATTCTTATTCTTGTAGGTATATACAGGGTGGCGCCTCTCATACTTAAATAACTTATGGTCATGTTTTATTTTGATTTAAAGTAGATTGATTATTTTAACTACAGATTGCTATTCCGGGTAAATTCTAATTTAGTTGGATTTAAAAATTTTTGTTCATTTTTAGGAAATGTTGAATATGTCATAAACCTTTTTTAACCTCAATTTTAGTTATATGCTTATCTCATAAAATTCACATTTATTTTTTTTCATAAAATCCGAAAATGAATTAATATATTATAGAATATAAAAATCTATATATTTTTAAAAATGCTCTAAATTAACCTACATATGCTCACAAAATAATTAATTTCAATACAATGTAGAATGTTTAGAAGGGGAGTTAATCACCGCGACCTTACAGATCTATTGTGTGTAATTTCAATACAAACTATCGTTCTCCTTGGAGCCTGTGACGTATGAGACGCCATCATAAACAAGGATTTTTCTGATATACCAAAGATTTGGTATTCTTATTATTCTTGTTATTTATCTTTAATCAATTATTATTAAAAATCATGTTTTTGGTCAAAGATTACAATACACATTTAGACTGTTTAAAAAAAATCAATTACTATTTTTTCTCTTAATCGAAAATGTTGAAAATGACGAAAAAAATACCGTGAAAGTTTGAGCTCTTAATATTAATATTAAGAGATGCAGCATCGAAAATTTCCATTTTCCATTTGATTAACATGGGATTTTTTCCCAACTTTTAACTCAACTCTAGGAGTTCTCATACTGGGTCGAAACATATTCTTGTAGAGAATTCAACGCTCTATAAAATCGTGGGAAGTTTTCATAAGGCATTTTTTGTGGACCTTTTCATTCTCTAAAATTTTTGATATTTGGTACATATTTTATAAAAAACTTTTCTTGTCTTAGTGGATAATAGCGGTTTTTCGTATTCTTCTTATAGGTTGTATTCATTATTATTATAAGCGAAAACACCATAGCGATGGGCAAATATTAGGAAACACTCTACTATTTTAAATTATATTTCGTTAATAGTTCATTTAAAATAACTAAGTTAAAATTCATTATGTGATTCAGTGAATAATATTTTCGAGTTATTTTGTTTGATTTATAAGAAATCATTTTTAAAGTCTTTGTGTGAGACCTAATTGATTTGTAGCGCTGGATGTTTACGTTGTGTAATCCGATCCGGTAGATGAAAAATATATTGATGGATATTCATTTCTCCCGAGATAACACTTTTTTAAACGGTTACTTTTTCGAATTAGAAATTAAAATACTTATTATGCGCTATTCCTCAATCTTTAAGAAGAAATATTTTTCTAATATTAAGCGGTTATTATCAGCAATTTGCTTTACTAATTTTATTATTTTAGTATCAGGATTTGCAACTAAATTTCCGTTCCAAAAATATCATAATGTCGTATCATACTATACGGAGTGGTTTTGAAATATCCCTCTTAAAAATCTAAATTCCAAGAATTTTTTTTTTAATAGAAAGTACTATAATAGTGTCCTCTTCAAAATTCGGTCTACCATCAATTACAATCTTATTTGATATATACAGGGCGAGTCCAAACTAAATGTTGTATTTTTCACCACTATTTTAAATGCAACACCCTGTATTTTGTATCATAATCGAACAAGGTTTTCTTTTTTTTTTATTTTTTTTTGTTTTATTATAAGCACTTCCTATACCTAAAATCGATATTTAATGAGAAAGTTGTATTAATAAAATATTTAACTAAAATC